GAGCCGGTGAGATTTGAACAGCCGAACTGCAGAACTGCAGTGCTGCATTTAACCACTGCGCCAACCAGAGGTGGGTTGCTTCTGGTTCGGCCTGGATCGGGTGAACTGGTAGTGGCTGTGGCTGGAGGCCCCACCCACCTACCTGCACATGCGAACCGGTAGTAAAAAATTTGGAAACCCACCACTGGAGAAAACCTCAATATTCACATGACCATTGAAACCAAGAGATTTGGTTATAGGCAGGTGGGGATGACTCGGGCATAAAGACAGCAGCTTTCTTTTCCTACCAACCTTCTTCTGGGGTTCGCACCAGGAGCACCTCACTATCCATGCCCTGGAACTCATCAAAATATGGCCGGATCTTGACCTCATATTCTTGGCCTTTGCGTAGGTCTACTAAGACAGTGTTCCGTTCAACAGGTGACTTCACATCCTGCACCAGCCAAGCGCTGTTCTTGGGCCGGTACATCACCCGATAACCTTGGATGAATTGAGCCTGGCGATCCACCTGAAGGAAATAAAGGGAGAGAGCATTGACTGTATGGGGTTGGGACCTATTGCCTGGATCCATGCTTTTCCCATCCAGGATCCCATTTCTTTCTCTTGCTATTGGTTCTGATGATGTTGTTTCAAGAAAAAGTATGAATTTATTTGCACTCACAGTCCAGGTGACTTGGATGGTGGTGGAAGTGAGGACAACGGGTTCCTGGAGCTGAACTACCACATCTCCAAGTTCCCGTTGCACCTGCCGGTGGTCAACTCCTTGTCTGGTGGGACTCACATCTATTAAAAAAAAACCACAAATCCCATATCAGATGATACTCTTTGCAACAAGACCAACATCAAATATCCAAAACAGAAAAAGTGATCACCAAGTCATAGAGATGCATACTCTCATCAAGTTTGTTTCTAGGTTTTACTGGATTACTTAACTCTAGGTAACTTGGTGACTTCAAGAGTTAGAAACATGCTTTTGTAGCAATGTTCAATCTGTGCTAGGCCAACTGAACTTTCTATGGAAAGATTGTACAGATGCAGATGTACAACTGGAGATTATAAACCAAGTACTCTTTTTAACTCTGGTTCCTAAAGGGGTTTCTCAAAGGAACAAGGAATAATGGATGGAAATTGATCAAGGAGAGATTCAACCTGGAAATAAGGAGACATTTTNATAAAAAAGTGACTCTGAGTAACCTATTAGCTGCAATAACTTGTGAATAACTCCTTAAAGACATTGGTGCACTCTAAGCTTCCTCCTATTCTGCCTACGGATGAATTTCTATCATGACCAGGAATCAAGAATAAGAACGGAGCGTGAGACAGCGAAAGCATTTAAAAACGGGAAAGGCGTTAGGGCTGAATACTGACATTGTGCTCAATATTTATTTATTTGTTGATTGATTCAAATTTAGAGATGGCCCATCTCACTCACAGAGTGATTCTGAATTGTGCACAATTGAAAACATTGAAAACCATATAAAATATTGTATTTCAGTAAAAGGAGGCACAGTTAAAATAAGGGTGGCAATTGGAGTTTGCACGGCAGGGGAGAGCCTTCATGGATGTCGACTGTACTGAGTGAAATGTCGGATTAGGGGAGACAGAAACCGGAATTACAATTGCTGTGAGAAATGTCAACCACCAGAGATGTTCTGATGATACCACTTGATACTTGGAAATGGAGAAGACGTAAGTGAACTCTTTTTGAACATGCTGGTCTGCTGCTCCATATTAAAAACAACAAACCCATTTAAAATTATGTTAACAGGCAGTGCCAACCCAATGCAAAGAAACGGGGAAACTGATGTGGCCAACAGATTTTATCTTCCTAGGCTCAAGCATGGCATACATACTGTGGAGGTGCCATGCCTGCAACTAAATTATATATTGTCAAAATCATTATTTTCCCAGTTATAACATAGAGTGTAAAAGGGTAGATGATCAGAAAAACTGAATGAAAAATGCACGCTTCTGAATTGTGGCGCTGAAGAAGATTGTTGGGGAAATAAATAATTTATTTTTCTTGGATTGCAAAAAGAAGAAATCATTCAAGAAGAGATGAAACACAACCAGAGCGCACGTGGAAATACTAACAATGAAACCAATGCTTATATATTTTGGATGAGCAAGCAAAGCAACAGGCAAGATTTATTAAAAACAAGGCTGGGATGCCTGGAAAAAATCAAACTCAATTGAAAAAGGCCAATAAAAGAACAAGTGACTGCCTATAAGGTATAAGAACTTAAAAAAAAACACAAAATCCCTCACTGATCATTCTGGTGGAATGATGTCCTCTGGGAACCAGAAGTGACTGAATGACTGAACAATCTCAACATACTCTGTGAAATCAGCCGTTGTGGTTTATCAGCTGTGATTTATTTAGTGTGTCTTGTTAACCTGACCAGTTTCAATCTGTTAAAACAACTCTCATCCTTATGCAGGGTTCTCGTTCCTCCTGCTTATGGGCTTTCTGTAGAAATCAACAGATCAACCAAGCAGAAGACCCTATTTGGCAGAAGATACAACCGCTTCATCAATGCATGCGAACTTTATAAATCAAGACCATGTACTTCGGCTGTCAAATTTGGTTAACAATTAAGGCCAAATGATCATATTTTTTTTGCCTTTTCACAGGAAGACAATTTGGGGGGGGGGAGGAGAAAAGGGAGCATATGGAAAGGATTCTTTTTTAGTGTCTTATAAACCACACCAAAGATAATTAAATCAAAGGGCCAACATTTGATCAATCGGGCAGAGAGCAAATGTTTGATTATTAATAATAGATGAATAGCAATAGCAATAGCAATAGCAGTTCGACTTATATACCGCTTCATAGGGCTTTCAGCCCTCTCTAAGCGGTTTACAGAGTCAGCTTATCGCCCCCAACAACAATCTGGGTCCTCATTTTACCCACCTCAGAAGGATGGAAGGCTGAGTCAACCCTGAGCCGGTGAGATTAGAACCGCTGAACTGGAGATCACAGTCAGCTGAAGTGGCTGCAGTACAGCAGTCTAACCACTGCGCCACCTCGGCTCTTAAAAAGGGCCCCGAGAATCCTAATTCTGTAAGATATACTGTATTTTACAAAAAAAAATCTCAGAGATCTCCTAATCCATTCTACCAATGTTAACAATCAGCAGTCATGAAATAGTTCCCTGGGAAATTATTCCTTTCCTTACTTCTGTCTAACAATCAATACAGCATTCGGAATTCATGTCTCCATAGAAAGGAAGTCTATAGTGCTTACGGTTTGAGTTAGACACACAAAAAATGATGATGATAGAGTAGCAATAGCAATAGCAGTTAGACTTATATACCGCTTCATAGGGCTTTCAGCCCTCTCTAAGCGGTTTACAGAGTCAGCATATTGCCCCC